TAGGTGTGGTACGCCAATAAAAATTGTACAAGCTCTCATATATCGGTACACAATAAGCACTATACTTCTATTAAGACACGTTTAGCATTCGTGTTATATCGATTCCTAGAACGGAGGTATGTGGCATATTTTTTTTTTGCTATTTGTCACGATCATTGCTGAAGAGCACTATATATGTCATTTGTAACACTTAATTTGCTGATACATTATTCATTAATTTTTATTCTTCTTTCCTCACAGTCCAGTCATTTCAATACTTCTAAGCATGCAGTGAGCAACATTGGGAAGATTTCATCTCCCTGTCTGACGCCTTCCTCGATAGCGATGTTATTGTGCATCTTATGAAGAATCAATATAGCCGTGAAGTCTTTATAAAGGTTAACTAAGGTACTTAGTGTGTTTCAAGTACTCTTTCCGGACGTGGTCGTGAACGATAAACTGGAGTTACAGGCATGCCCTTGTCATGTAATTCTATGCCCTCGAAAAGATTGCAGATTCTTTCAAGGCACCATGTGATTTGGCACGCTTCAATTCGTTAGCAAGTCCACGTCCTGCTTTAGAGGTCCGTGTACATCAAGGACCACCGGGAGTTCGAAATTATCCCGAAGTCTCCACTGTGGCATCTCCTATGACCTCAGTTGCTTTGGGACGTTATACCTCATAAACCAACCAGTCATCTGCACATTGCATCTAACCTAACTAAAATGCGAACGCTAAGGTTAGTCTACGCTATAGATGATTGCTTAAACAGCCACGAACAGCGCTCCCCCCCCCCCCCCAGGAAGACCAGTTCATCTTCAGAAATGCAAGCCAGGAATACTTCAATACAATTATACCCGGCACATCGGCACACGTACATATTCTTTTGTTGAGCTCATCAATTTGGGACGCTAAACCTGATAAACCATGCTAACCACCCGAGCTCTGCATCCTCACAGCTTTCTTGTCGAGCAATATTTCATTAGAGTACAAACTGACAGCACTAAGGTTAGATTATGCAGCACATGAAAACAGAAAAACCGGCTATAGCCTTCAGAAATGGATGCCAAGAAGAAAGAGGTAGACTTTATTATTTCCGGCAGATTGATGGGTTGGGCTCCCGCCTAGGAGCTAACGGAGAGGCCGTGTCTCCTGGTAGCTTCCTTGGCCTGCTGGATCGCCTAAAGTTGCTTGTGCAGGCCCGAACTGAGCAGCACAGTCCGTTGGATGCCAAAAATTCTTTAATATATTTCTCTCCCACGAGCACACGTACACTTCCTTTTGTTATCGCCGTGGGCGACGGCCATTCGAACGCAAGATGAGAGGTACGGCTGAGTCATTTGGCCCGTAGTCAGGGCCTAGGCCGCGACGAAGAACGAGTTCCATCACACCTCTGCACAGCCTGCTTGACGTAACCCCAACCCACATTCCCAGTCCGGGGCGTCGTGCACTTCCTTGGCCGCGCTTGAAAACGCCTCCATCGCTTTGCGAGAGATTCACCAGGCACAGCTCAGCGACGCATATAAGGCAACCTGCTCGCCTAACGGCCAAGCATCCAGCCTTTCTAAGAGATGTTAGTATCAAAAAAGAAGAAGAAGGAAAAGGAAAGCAACTCAAGGTGTTCGCTTTGGGTGACAAGCATTCTGAGACGAGCGGGTTGGATGCCTGGTTTGTTCATGTTCTCTTCCAACTAGTACCGTGCAGTCCTGACGCAACTGCTGAGTTGGGCCAGCTGCAGCCGAACTTCAAAATGTTCTCCATCAAAAGCAATTGAGCAGAGCTTGCTACTACCTGGGTTCATGCACTTGAAAACAGAAAACAGTCAGCGACCCTAACCTCGTGAACAAAGTCAAGTCCCGTGCTTGGTACCTCGCCGACATGGTTCGTACGTTTCCACACACCTGCACGGTTTTAGCGGGGCAGAAGTTCCATTTACCCGTTCGCGAGTCACCGTGCACGTGCTCCGGGGCACGCACGCGGCGCCTAAAAGTAAGAAGCTGAAACAAGCGCGCGCTTTGCGACAGCAGGGAAAGAAGACGGAGCCGGCCGGTCGTAGTAGCAGGGTGAGACCCGTACCGCTCACGACTGGCCTACATCGTGCAACGTTGGCTAGCCAGCTGCCTGCTGACGTTGCTGGGGGGGTCTAATGCCCCCGCTCTGGGGATACGGGCTCTCGCCGTTGAGTGTGCGTATACTTACTACACACCCGTCTTTTGTTTAGCAGATGGGCTTTCGTGCACGAGCTTCCGCTGGAATCCGGCGGGACCAGCGCGTTTCCGACGACCCGCCCGCCCCCACGTCCGGAGAGAAAATTCGCCGTCGCCACGCGCAGCGACCCACTTTGGCTACGCTCTATCGTTCTTCGCCCGCGCCCAAAGAAGACAAACCACTTTTCTTACGTAGGAGTGGGTTCTCCCTTGAGGAACCGACGCATTGTTTGGTCGGCGGCCGCTGCGGGCCTTGCACCGTGACGCGCTAAGTGATGCAACAAAGAAAGGCCTCGGCCGTAACTCTTTTTCGCCGCTGGCTGATGAATGTGTTTCTCCACCCTGCGTGTGTCCATTCAGGCCGACGGATTTTGTGATAGCTGAATCAAAGAATGATCAATTGCCGAGAAGTTTCGTACTCATTTCCATTTCTACACACCGAGTTGAGTTGTGGTTGGTTAGCACCATAGTTAGAAACAACGCATAAGAAAATTTGACAGGTTGTGTTGAGTACACGCGTTTCTTGCACCTCTGGACCGAATGCTGGATCGCCTATAATCGAAGACTGTGCTTTCGCTAGTCATTCTACTTGGCTGAACGAAACGGGCTCTTCGGAGTTCCGTTTCACCCAGTGTTTGCCAATGCACATATCGTATAAGATATACCGACCATTGTGGTTATTCACTGTTACATCTATTACATATCTAATTATATTACATATCTAATTATGTAGAACAATAAAACGCCGAGGCTAGTTTATTTGTTCATTATATATTACAGAGCCCAATGACGCATTGAGTAAGGGGGACAAGTACAACGTAAATGAAAAAAAAATACATAGAAGAAACAGAAGGAAACAAATAAAGAGTAAATAAAGTGCACAGTGAATTAAGCTAGAGAAAAAAGAATACACTGCAAAAAAAATAACAGCATATGCAAGGAGTGAATGATGCTGAGTGAGGCGAAGCGCTGGAGGGTTTCATTGCTAAACCATGAAGCATCCAAGAATATTACCCACTACATTATCAAAGACGTGACAAGCTCTGTAGATGCTTGGTAACATTTCGGCGCGCACACAGTGAACGGGAAGACGGAAGGCGAAGAGACAAACTATCCATCTATATCTCTGTATATATTTATACGGAGACATTTTTTATTCGTATAGTTGTAGCTATACGTCGCTTACGTTCCCCTTCATTATAACGGCTTTATTGCCGGTGATGGGGCGTAGTGGGATGTTTGCAAGCACTAAATAATAGGCAGTATACATAGGTTGAATTGTAGGTGGTCAAGTACAAACAAGGGATGGACACAGTGGGACAATCAATTAACGAGCACCTGAATACAAATACACGACCATCTTGCATTTCATGTAGGCTACTTCTCAACAGCATTTGCTTCATGGTCGGTTAAGTGGTGGATCGGTGATGGGGCGCAGTGGGACGTCTGCAAGGACGAAGTAGTGAGCAGTTGGCAAAGGTGGAACTACAGGCGCTTACATACATACATAAAAGAAATGGACAGACCCACGCCTTCAGAAGCTTCGCCCCTATAAAGTTCAGTAATTACTCCTACCATGTTAGACGCTGTTAACTGCTTCACACAGTGTAAAAAAAAATCAAGTGTCTGAAAAAAACTAAACAACAAAACACGTCCTTGTACAATCTCTGTACAATTCAAATCGCCTGTGCTGATCTTGGTATGCTAATGTGGGTTTCGGGCACTTCTAAAGCAAATAGGCCACCGTAACAGCCCTCCTCATGGTGAATATTCAAGGAGGAGTAACTTTTTCCGCTTTCACAATGTGTCACTACAAGTTGCAAATGTTCGTGGACTTGCAGAAGTTCGAGAATCTTGAAGATGTCTGGTACATTTGCCTGGTTTTTGTGAATGCCCTAACATCGTAACCTGCTTGCCGCACGAACTTACCTCAACACGGAGGACAAATTGCTTTTCACAATGAAAGACCACTTCCTCTCGGCCAATAGAAAACTGATATTCTAAAAAAAAATGAAGGCAACAATAGCCACAAGTATACCTAAATATGCTTCTTAAGTGTAGTGGACACTTCCCCTAATTAACAGTTTACCAGTCGAAGCGCCACAATTTAGTGGTCTCAAAGCATTAACATGGTTAACACGAAGTTTAATACGGCATTCTTGATTAATACATATTTTATTACATATCTGTTAGGTACGACTGTGTGGTGACGTTGTATGAGGAGGAGGGGTCATGCATACGGCGTGGTCCGTACACTACCATAAATCAAGTTCTTTAAGCTACCGCTACATAGATAAAGTGCGTACGTAGGTTAATGCTACTCTGAATTTGTCTATAGCCGCAATATCCTTACAGCAAGACACTAATTGGATTCCCTTCTTTATCTACGCCTTCAGGCAGCGTTGTTTTATTCTCACCTAGTAATTTTTACAGTGCCTAAACGTGCCCATTCATTATGACCCCCGTTCTCTTTCAAGTTTACAACCTAAGGTCATCAAACCAAATTAACACTGGTACGTTGCGCCCACACGTGAGGGACTCATGAAAATGCTTTTTCTAGACGAGGACAAGATATAAGCAGTGCGATTTTCATTTGCGATCATTGTGAAAAAAACAGGGGGAAACAGAGCTTGCGCAGTTGTGCTATGATCCCCGTGTCCCTTTTCCCCTGTTCGTGTTCAGTATTGATACTGAACATGATGTATCATCTCAGCTGGAGAGTTCCCCTTCTCGCTTAACGAATATGAAAATAAGAGCTGTGCTTCTTTTGGCCTGTCTAACACCGGAACATTTTTTTTTTTCTTCTTTCACCAGAGGACGCCCCTTCTGCTTCTCTGGGTCGTGGTGGCGCTGGCCGTCATCCTGCCGGTCGTCCGCGGACAGAGGAGCCGCGGACAGAGCCAGGCACGTAGACCCAGCACCGAGGCGCCGGCCTACGACGACTACTACTACGACGAAGAGGGCGCCGACGAAGAGGCCGCCTCCAAGAAGCCCGACAAGTCTTCGTCGTCCCAAAGCCCGTCGCGTGGCTCGAGCGGAAGCAGCGGAAGCTCGCGCGGGGCCAAGTCGGAGCCTCCGTCCGACGAAGACTACGATGCACCACCACCGTCGTCCAAGTCGTCGTCTTCCTCGTCAACGGCTAAGCCTTCATCATCGTCTTCCTCTAAATACAAGTCGGGATCGAGTACCGATGTCAAGCCGCCGGCACCCGCTGGACCATCCGACCCTGCAGGAGATTCCGGAGCCGAGGAACCACCTCCGAAGAAGGGACCCGTTTCACCCTCGGCGTTGTTTCTCGCTCCGCGCAAGAACAGGCTGCCCCGCCCCAACGTTCACTTCGCAGCCAGGCCTCGGCCTACACTTCCGAGCTTCATCAAGCACCCACCTCCGTTGGGCGCCATATCAACCACAGTGACGCCCAAACCTCGCTCAGGGGCTGTCGCAGTCACTGAGGAACCAAAGATCTCCCGCTCCACGGCCAAGCCGAAGAGCTCTTCAGCGTCCTCTAAGCGGGGTAGTTCTGGCTTCAGCGGGGGAGCGGCTGGAAGGAAACGTGACCGCAGCACGACAGAATCCCCAGCTTCGACCGACGGTGACCGGAGTAACAGGAGGTTCGGTGGTAACGGCAAGAAGAACACGGCCAGGCCCAGGTTTCGCGCCGGAAGCACCGCTTAAGCTGTGAAGAGTCAGATTACACTCACTGCCTGAAGAGTTAGCTGAGCGCTCTTCGTTTTTTGCCTCATGATGCCAGCCAGCCGGGAGAAGGAGTTTACACTCTATTTGGGGGAGGGGGGATCACATCGACGACTGCCCAGTCGACGTTTCTGTTCATATTTTTTTTTTCTTTCCTGTCGCATGGTCTTCGACTGTCTGTGTGTGCCCACTACGTGAAGAAGAGTTTCTGGGAATGGCCCGAGTTCCAGCCTAGCGAGGGATTGCTTGCGTGCGTCGTCGTGGTGACACGGATACACGTTAGCCAATAAATGCGTTGCAGCCGTGTTCCTTTAATCACGACATTGACATCAGATTTTAATGGATGTCGTGATGCGAGCGTCTTTGCACGTGCCTTCACAGTGCGACCGTTTTGATGTAGCAATGTGAATTATTTTTTTATATGAACGTGGAACATATTAGGTCGTTCAGCTCATTACGAAAGCATACATGTTTTGCATCTGCCCCAGCATGCCTGTGCGCACGTCTGTAGCTTTTTTTTTCTTTTCTGGAGGGATTCATCTTTCTACAAACAGAGGTCGTTTTATGTGAAAGCGTCTTTTTCTTTTTCAGAGATAGCATTTCCGTTTGTAGTACTTTTTTTCTGCGTTTCATTAAAACTTAAAATATCGACACAAGGCATGTGGTGAGCGTTGTTGTCAAGGTATCGCAAGACTTAAGCTGATGTCACGTTTTAAACCTGCATGGACAAAACGGTCAAGACAACTGATCGTAGTTGTGTCCGATTAAAACAACCGAAATGAATGTATCTGAAACTTTATTAGCATTACATACCCATATTGTAGTAATTATGAAAGGCGGAAGAGAATAGCAGTTGCGTGAAATGGCCTTACGGTGGCGAGAGAACTTGATAATTTCTCTTACACTCAGCAGAGTCAGATCTTAGAGATTCGTGCAACACGTTGCGCCTCTATATTTCAGAGTGTTCACCAAACATCATTTATTTTCTTTGTTGGGGCACTAATGCACCGATTCTTCTCTGTCTCGCCAGTTGAGGAAGCTGCGCAGCATCGTTATCAGGTCGATCAAGTTTGTAACGCGTACGTTTTCGGTGTACCCCATAAAAGAGTATTAAGCGTAAATGATAACCGTTTAGATGAATTACGTCAAACTTTAATTTCATTTTGACATTCTATGCGTTTCTTGATAATGTAGCTATAATGGACTACTATACGAACAATAAACGCCTCCAATGCTATAGAGTCAGCATGTGACGGCATACCGTTGAACTGGAAGGTGCAACAAGTGACCAAATGGGAGACAAGATAGGATTATGCTGCAGTCGGAAAGATCACCCTGCCTGACTTCCAATGAAGGCCAATAGGTTTTTTTTTTTCGAACTTTAGAAATGGCAATGAAATGATTATGCATAAAAAAAACTAACTTACGTGCGGAAGCATGGCTGTGCACTTAAGTGTCAATCCGTGTGCGTATCTTCTATTTTTTTTTATTTTCTGTGACATCACTTCCAGAAAGAATCCGCATCGACTCGAGTTTTTGCTTTCACTTCTCAAATTCGTATTTTTCCTCACTTTGACGACACGTGCGGTAAGTACGACATTCCAACGTTTCTTAACGACTACATTACACAATTTCTTAACAATTCATATACAATTTTCCCCATTTTTTGTCAATATCCGTACACCAGTCAATCTGGTGTACCAATATGGTTTAATCCAGGGGCGTAGGCACAAACTTTTTTTTTAAGGGGAGCCACCTTCTTGATTTCGGGGCCAACGTGCTACCTCCTACCTACGCCACCATTGCCATATTAATCATTACATTATTTGGAGCAAATGTAAACAATTCTTTGAACTCAAGATATAGAGCACAGCTATCCAATGTTATCGCTTAGAAACGTTAACTTTAACCTTACCTACGTGAGCACTCTTAAGCTTCCTTCCTTGTAATATATATATATATATATAACGTATACTACAATAAGCAACTTTCAAGAACTTTGCAATCACGCATTCTTCAATTAGTAATGACGTGAATGCATGAACGTGTACTTTGATTGTATGCTGTAGCTCTTAGACGCTCCGGTATTTTACAAAACTGTACACACAATTGTAAAAAGCATAAAAACAATGAGCTTGCAAATTCTGTGAGCCTGGTAAACTGCAAGTCATTATATATGCGAGTCTATCATTGCGTCGTCATGACACTAGTTCGATTTGGCTTATACAGTTTGAAAATAGCGATAAAAGTGCACTTGTCAGCGATCTTTACAAAAGTAGCTCAGCCGAGCTAACAACCGTATAAGGACGTGCACAGAGCTCTGGAAACATGTCCAGTAATGAAGCAACTTCGTGCCTTCGGCTGAATTCTGAGGGATAAAGCAGCTCTGATTAACGCCATAGCAATCACACTCCCTTTATTTTGCTTGTCGATAGTGTACTTAGGTTCAGCACATCCTCGAGCGTACAATGCTCGAATGGTCATTGTAATTCCCTTAACAATAAATGAAGTGATTGCTATGATCATCGTTGGAAGCCACGTGTTTTACGACGCAAGTACTCAAGTTAAAGGTGAGAGTATGGTAACACGCGTAGACAAAAATACGGAACATATTATCGGGAGCTATAAACAGGCCTGTAATCATCATCATTATCATCATCATCATCAGCCAGACTACGTCCCCTGAAGGACAAAGGCTTCTCCCATGGTCCGCCAGTCAACTCGGTCCTGTGCTTGCTGCTGCCAATTTATGACCGCAAACTTCTTAATCTTATCTGTCCACCTAACCTTCTGTCTCCCCCTAACACGCTTCCCTTCTCTAGGAATCCAGTTAGTTCCCCTAATGACCAGTGATTATCCTGTCTACGGGCTACATGCCCGGCCCATGTCCATTTCCTCTTATTAATTTCAACTATGATATACTTAGCCCCGGTTTGTTCCCTCATTCACTCTGCTCTCTTCTTGTCTCGTAAGGTTACATCAACCATTTTCCTTTCCCTTGCTCGCTGCGTCGTCCTCAATTTAAGCTGAACCCTATTTGTAAGTCTCCAGGTCTCTGCTCCGTAGCTAAGTACCCGCCAGATGCAGCTGTTATAGGTAAAGGCCTGTACCTATAGCGTAAAAGTAAGAACAGTGTGCACCGAGATTGATTTGGTTCGAAACATGTTGTAATCATTTCTCTTTTGAGAAGAGCAGCGTGAGAGCAGCACAGAAGTAAAATGTTGTTTGTATTTTTAATAAGGTGAAAGCCTCAGACGCCTCAATGCAATAATAAACCATCGGCGTCTCGCGATGTCTGCGTCAACACGAGTGATGTGAAGAAGAAGAGAAAAAATAAAGGGAAGAGACAGGGATGTTAACCTAGAAGAACTGGTTTGCTACCCTGTACAGGGGTGGGTAAATAAGGGTCGGAAGAGAGAGAGATGTATAGAGATAAAATAAATTAGGAAAAAAATACACATGCACACACATGCAGGGCGTTCTGATCGCAGTCGTTGTCTGCGTCAACACGAGTGATGTGAAGAAGAAGAGAAATAAATAAAAGTGAAGGGCAACAAGAACAAGAAGAGACAGAGAGGTTAACCTAGAACTGGTTTTCTACACTGTGCAGTGGTTGGTAAATAAGGGTCGGAAACTTCGGAGATAGAGATGGAAAGAGATAAAATAAATTAGGAAAAAAATGCACATGCACACACATGCAGGGCATTCCGATCACAGTCATTTGCAGAGGTCGGTTGAACACAAGAAGTGCAGGAGCGCCTTCATAGCCTTCTTCTGCGACATAATGTCCTGTCGGTAGCGCAGGAATCTTTCTTCCGAAAGAGTCTGGTTGTCCAGTTCGTCTAGTGCATTGCAGACTGGCTGTCTCTGCGAGCAGTATTGTGGCCAATCACACTGAATATGCCAATTTGTTTCGTCACTGCCCCAATGGTCACATGCAGCAGTGTCGGCCATTCTTATGCGGAATGCGTACGCATTGGTAAATGCGACACCCAGCCATAACCTACACAGCATTGTAGCGTCTCGTCGGCGAAGTTCTGGAGGAATTCAAAGACTGAGGGTTGGGTCTAAGGTACATAATCGTGCGTGGGTGAAATGTGACTTGTTCCATTGCGACGTGGTGCACTTGCGAGCAAACATGCGGAGTTTCCATGCAGTGTCAGTTCTGGAGAGAAGAATCGATATTTTATCGCTTTCAGTATGGGCAGAACGGGCAGCTCAATCGGCCCGTTCATTTTCAATTATTCCACAGTGACTTGGAAGCTATTGAAAGGCTATTTCATGTCCTTTTTCAATGAAATGGTGAGCTTTTCTACGATCTCTAACACCAGTTGTTAGTACGGGCCACGGCGTAAAGGTGGTAGAAGGGATTTTGGTGCCGCCTCACTAAAGGTTGTCCATTTTTGTGGCTGTTGGTCACTAATGAATTTCAATGCGGCACGAAGAGCTGTGAGCTACACTCCTGTTGATGTCGTAAGGTGGGAGGTCTTGAATTTGCTTGTTGTGACGTTTATTGGTATAACAAAACATGCCGTTGAACTGTTGTGTGAAACGGAGCCGTCGGTGTGTACGTGTGTACAGCCTTGGTAAGTCTCGTATAACAAGAGCAGAACAAGCTGCTTAAGAGCAGGCGATATCATATCTGATTTTTTATGGATGCCGGGTACTGCTAGCCTGATGTTAGCCTGAGTCAGGCACCAAGAAGGAGTCGAAGGCCTGGCGGTGGGTGTGAAGCATGTTGACAAAGAGTCGCGATACGTGGTTACCGTTTGGCAAAAGGACGAACGCGGCCTGTGTGCTGGTAGAGAATCTATAGGTCGTGGCATGGTGTCCGAGCAATATGCCTTATATATGTCCTGAGTGTCTCAACGTCAGTATGTGTCTCGATGAGGTGGTCACCGGTGATTGCTATAGAAGCCATTGTCGACGCACTGCGAGGCAAGCTTGGACAAATCTGGAGTGCTTGGGCCTGAACACTCTGTAACGTTCGTGGGCTTGTTTTGCTTGCATTGGTCAATGCCGTTAAGCTGTACCGCAGGAAACCGAGAAAAAGTACGCTGTACAGTTGTAGCATTGCACTGGGTGACATTCCCCAAGTCTGCCCTGCAAAGAACTTCAGTAGATTACAGATGTTTATTAACCGTTTTTTCATGTACGAGGCCTGGTCGCCCCATGATATATTCCTGTCAATTATGACGCCCAAGAACTTGTGCGATCGAACGTATGGTACAGTTTGACCATTGATGCTTATGGTGTACTTATTCATAGACTTGCGTGTAAGAGCTACGAGGGCACATTTCTCGGAAGAAATTTCCAAGCCTCGATTTTGAAGGTGACGTAATGTTTCAGTAGCAGCTTTTTGAATTCTCGCTCGCAACTGCAGGCGTGTTACAGCCGATGCCCAAACGCAGATACCATCTGCGTACATTTATATCCTCACTGTGCTCTGCAGATGCTCAGTGAGAGCAATTAACGTAAGATTGAACAGCACAGGGCTGAGTACGCCACCCTGGGGGACGCCATGGTAGCTGTAAGGTGGAGATGTTTGGCCGTGTAGGGACGTTCCGTGACTGCTAGGCCCAGAACCCCACAGTGAAGACGCGGAGCCAGACCAGGAACCTTCTCTATTGACCGGAACATGGTCCGCTACTCAATG